AACTTATTTAATTATTGGTAAATGGAAGAAACAAAGATGTAGCAGCTGTGATGATTTGACAGATGAAAACATGGCAAGAGGAAATATAAAGCCACCATGAGGGAGACAGGATNGGGGGGAGATGGGACGCTTAAGCTAAAATGAATCTGTATTTGATTTAAGCCTCTTACCCCATGGTAACCATACCCATCATCAGCCACCTCCCTCCCTCTGCCTCCTCCAGCAGCCTTCAAAGAGTCAGAAGGCAAAAGTGGAACATCGACTGCTCACCATATGAGATTCAAAATGAGAGGGGTAGAGGAGGTGGAGGCTGATAAATCTGTCAAAGGAAAAACCCAGGAAATACTGAGGAGCTGGAACCAGCACATTTTGCTGCTTTACTTAAGAAATGACTTAATTCTTCTATTATTTAAATTTGATTTTGTGTCGTTAACTAATTGATTCATTGACTGATAATTGTAACTCTAGTAGAATTTGCTTTCCTCAGTTGTAAATGAGAAGATTCAGAAATAGATTCACAGATCTGTGAATGCAAATGACATGCTGTATATATGCAATTATTCTAATTCCATGTCAATGTTTTATACATTTAGAAATAAAGATGGAATCTGTCATAAAGTGATTTGTTGAACTCAGACCTTTTTAAAACTGGATCCAAAATGGAGCCTATAACATAGAGGTGATTTTTATTTTATTTAGCTAAGTGAGTGCTTGCTTTTATTCCTACCTAGAAAATGTGGAGGTTTTTATTTTTGCAAAATTAAGTAAAATTGAGCATCATTGTTTGCATTGATTATGTTCATCCTGTTTATATGAACCCATGTCACGTTTAAGCTGGAAGAAGGATTACGTTCACATTTTATTTTGGCGACGAAGGACAAATGTTATGTTAAATGATTAGTGAATCATGTTTTCTCTTTCCCGAGGCATACAGCATGTATCTGTCTAAGCGTCCTTTGTGCAGGAGAAATTACAGTCCATCATAAATTTCTGGTGCTCTGGGAGAAACCAGGCTCTCTTACGGATTATGCTGTCCATGGAAACTAAGGTTATGTAAAACAGATTACTGTACCACATCGTCACAATGCAGGTGGATTCATCCATGAACCAGTCACACAAAGAGATGAGACACATAAACATATACTCATGAGGAAAGCATGGATATACATAAACATGGAAGTGAAAAACTAAATCTACAAATGCACTTTTTATTTCCATGTTCCAGATATTAGTATTTCAATATGATTTATTAAAAGTTCACTTTAAATCTGACGATTTGACTAAAAATAAACACAAACTGCTTGTGTACTTTCTTATGTACATAAAACTCACTAAAACCTTGAATGGCAGCCAGTGGAGGCCATACCTCCGCCAGGTCCCAACAGTCTCCTTATGAAACTAAATTTAAAGTCACTAGATACAGATTTTTTTAGATCGATACCTCTCAACATGCCTGGTTCGTGTTTCTGTCAAGATTCATGAATTATTCTCTGAGAAATCAAAAAACGAAAATGTTGAAAAATGCTGTATTTTACAATATTGGATCCGCCCCCCCGATCCATCTCCACACCAAACTTACATGGGATCTTCCTCGGATCATGCCCCACCCCTCCGCAAGATTCAATAGAATTCGATTGAGTAGCTTCTGCAAAATCCTGCTGAAATAAAACCAAACAAACAAACAAACAAATGCAGACGAAAACACAACCTCCTGATCATTCTCCATCTTATTCACACAATAGATGTTTCATCAGTGGTCTGTAACACTTTTATTTTGAACAGAGAAGTTAACTGAAAGGTCTTCAGTGCATCTGTTGTAATATACACAATACATAAGCAGGTCAAAGGTGCATGTGCATATGGAATGTCCTGTGCCCATTAATCCGCTGATACAACTAAGATAACTGGCTCAGGCTGTTTTTTTTAAATGCTGTAGATTCAAAATGTTGATGTAATGGACAAAGCTTTGCTCAGTGCTATGAACTAAGGTCAAACAACAACTGAGCTTTACAGTATTGATCTGATATGATCCGCTCATGAGATGAAGCTACAGTCTGTAACTAAATCCATGCATGAGTGCATGTTGTGGATCAAAAATTCCACTGGGAGCTGCTTCCTAATGTGATTGCACTCTGTAGGACATGGGACATGTGGAGACAGAGACACGGACAATGAATTACATTAGAGCAGAGAGCCTCCTCTGTCCATTTGTTTCTCTGCATCCTATCACTAGATTAAAGTGATTTTATATAGATGCAAAAATAAACAATAGCAAGACAGTTGTTGTCAGGGATCTAGAGAGGAAGGCCTTGCAGCAGGAAGTGTAGCATGAAACTGAGGAGAAAAGCAATGAGATGAGTCTTATTTCTCAACATATGTACATAAAAAGAGATGTCAGTATTGCCTCCACACAATTTCAGCCAAACCTCATCAAAGAGTTGCACTGTTCCACATCTTTCCAGCACGAACTATCCTCCAAAACGAAAAACCTGTAAGACCTGAGCCATTCATGTCTTCTAACATATAACCACCTGGGTTATTGATCTCTGGTGACTGGAAAAACCTCTCACGGTTGTGCCTAGCGAGAAGAAAACGCCAGCAGATTTGTGCGTCGCAGAGGTCACATCAGAGGCGTTTGAAACAGCATCAATCTCAATGAGACTTCCGTAAATCATTGTTCAGCACCATGCCCTTGCCTGGGTTGGACTCGACAGGGCGTGGGCCTCGCACAGAGAATGCGCAAAGCTGGTGACTGTCGCCACAGCTGAGGATCGATCATCCGCCACATATTTTAATATCTAGCACCAATCTTCATGCTTCGTGGACAAAATACATGTCCTCATCAGTTCCCCAAACCCAAACAAGCGGCAGCGTTGAGCTGCAGCATCAGGCAGGAGCAGGCCTGTCAGGTTATTACAATATCAGGCTGCTGCCCAGGCTTTACGATGTGCGCTTCACCACAGTCATCAAAACAACACTGATGGACACACTGCGCTTTAGTGGCCTTTCCTCCTCTCATCCCTCTCACTCATCCCCCTCTCATCCATCCACGGTCGATCCCCCCGTGTCCGCTCTTACCTGCATCCAGGAGGAGAGAGGGAATGGAATGTGGAAAGGGAAAACATCTCAGCCCTGTCCGCCATCTTCTTCCACAAACGAGTCGGGGCTAATGCAGAAAATCACAGTGGAAGCTCAGTCCATTCACGGTCACGGGGCAGCGGACGGACGCGGCCGTGGACGGAGGTGTTTCTCTCCCTCTCTCTGTCTGTCCCACGGATAACCTCCTCCCCCCCCTTCTCCGCTTCCTGGCCGCGAGCCTTGGATCAGACGCGCCCGCACAGCAGCACCATGAACTCTGCAGCAGTCCACCATCCACACGGGCGGGATGGAGAGAGAGAAGCGGGCGTCGAGACTCTTCAGAGACAGATCGCAGCACCGCAGAAATATAACATACAATCCTGCGTTTGCCCCCCGTTGCGCCCACACGGAGCGTGAGCGCGCAGTGTGCGTCCGCAGTCCGCGTTAGAGCTCGCCAAATGTCTGCTGCTGCTGCTGCTGTGATGCTGTGATGCTGCTGCTGCTGCTGCTGCCTGTGACACACAACGGGTTGGGGGCCAGCAGTGCGGAGACAGAGGAGGAGGAGCAGGAGGAAGAGGAGGAGGAGGGTGGTGTGGAGCATACAACGTCAGTGCCGTCACCATATGAGCAGTCTGCACTGAGGCAGAGCTGGAGCTGCCAAATAGTGGAGTAGAAAAACAGTAAGTGTTTACAATGACATCACACTTACAGGGACGTTTGCACACAAAACATTGGGACAGCGCCACACAGGGGCCCCCACTTACAGGCCAATAATATGTCCAACATCCGTGCACAATTCCTGATTGTGTAAAGTGCTCATTGAAGTCATTCCTCGTTCACTGGTTGCTCTATAGCTTTAAGCAAAGCCACACATCATTGGATGTATTTTAAAAACTGCTTCTTGTTCATTGTGCACTCCAAGAAAAGCTTAGAAAATAAAATAAACGATCATGTGAGGGATTTGAAAACAATCTGACAGGTAAAGGGGTATTTAAGATTCCAGGTGGGGCCAGTGCCCCTCACGCCCCTGCTCGCCAGATCCGCCCCTGACACAGACCAATAGATCAAGGGGTTTCTGGGAAAAGACACGTGTTTCAATGTCACCTATTGTTTGCCATTTTCTTGATGGGCGTTGAACCTATAGATAACAGAGCGGGCAGACAAAAAAGCAAAGAGAAAAAACGAGCAAAGTCCGCAGCAGATGATTCAGTGAGGTGCACATTAAAGTTATTTCTTGTTGAATGTGAGCTCTGCTGCTTTGAGCAGATTGTGTGTTTCGTATTAATCATTATATATTATTATTATATATCTATATAATCTTATATATTATATATTATACATTGTCACTGTTTGTAAGTGATTTAAAAAAGCCCCCCCTCCCTGGCAGTGTGGAGCTGTTCACTGCCCGTGGTGCTGAAATTGGGAAACTTGTAATTGAAAGTTGTAATTGCCCTTATCGACCACAGGAGGGAGGTGAGTACCCGCTCAGTGAGTGAAAGCCCCTTCAGTCAGCAATATGATTTGTATGACGCTTTAATGTCAGACCTTCATTCACTGAATATCCAGAATATAAAACTGACAAATAAAATACATTTTAACATTTTAATTTATTTCTAGACTCTATGAATAGCAAATGAATAGTGTTGATGGAGTAGCATATGCAGTTGTACAATACAAATGTAGAATCATACAATATACTAAATGCTGTAGCTTTATTATATTTACTAGTGTCTCACATAGTCTATTTCATTCCATATCATTGTTATGGACTCCACATACTGTTTATAGTTCAAAGGAAAAAAGGGGAAGGATGTTTTCTGTGACGATTTTAACACACTTTTAACACAACTGCTTTTTATTTCCATTAAATGTAATGATTTTTCTCATACTTTTATTACCTGTTCGATGTGTCAAATTTGGATTACATTTGATGAAGTAAATGGGGTTACTTTCCTTGTTTAGGCAGAGCTATTAAGAAGAAGAAAGAAAATAACATATACAGACAGATATATGAACCATTCAGAATGTTTATTTCAATGGCCATTGCTGTGGCAGCACATTGAGTTAAAAACGAGCATGCTTTGAGGCAAAGTCCCTCTCTTCGATGCGGATTGGACCCATGGTGACATCACCTTCCCATTTGAAAACTGAGAAAGAAAAACAGAAGATGTGTGTTACACTATCACTATTGTTGTCTCTCAACCTAGACAAGCAGATACTTTGATAGAAATTTTACAAAATGCTGGCTGTTAAATTTTTCTTATATGATATCAAACAATTTTATAATTATTTAATTATGTAGGAAAAACATACCTTCACTGGAATCTTGGGATACACTACGTATCTTCCTACCAGGGGCAAATGCTCCACCATATGAGCCACCTACACCAGATGCTCCACCATATGAGCCACCTACACCAGAGGAGGCGCCATATGAGCCACCTACACCAGAGGAGGCGCCATATGAGCCACCTGCACCAGAGGAGGCGCCATATGAGCCACCTGCACCAGATGAAGTGCCATATGAGCCACCTGCACCAGATGAAGTGCCATATGAGCCACCTGCACCAGGGGAAGAACCAGTCTTGGGAAATCCAGAAGACTCACAGGAGCCACAGGCTCCATCAGCACCGCTGGCCTCCCTCCACCTGGGTAGAAAAGGAGGTGTAAGATAAGAAGTCCCAAACAATTCTCCTGTCATGCTTTTGAATTCACACACATACACATATATGTGCACACTCGCAGACTCACCCATTGATGTAGGAACAAGCTCTATGTTCATTATCAATGCTGTAGGCAGCTGATGTTGCTTTCAAGTGGCAAGTAATGTAGAGCTGGTTTGATTAACAGAGAATTTAGAATGTTATTAAGCCCAATATTGCTGATTTTTATGCTTAATAGAAAATATTAGAACATTAGGTTAGGTTTGGAGATACTCACTAGTCCACTATCAGCTCCCTGGAACCTGAAGGCCTCCAGCTGGAACCCTAGCTTGTGCTCTGCAGAGCGAGCCATGAATTTTGAGGAGGAGCCTGTGATCCTGGCATCGACCAAACACCTGCACGCAAGAAAAACATTCATATTTAAAGAGGGACATGCTGGGTGTTTGTGATAATCACTTATCACTCAGCAGGACGATTCAAGTTAACTTTTTGAAACTACCTCACCCATTGTTTTCAACGAAGGCATATCTGGGGCTGGAGGATGCATCGGGAGAAAGAGTAGCCACACAGCTGTCCACAAAAACACGGAGGGGCACGTGGAAGAACTGCTTGACGGTGGCCTCAATATTAACCATATCTCCCAGGAAATACTGGTAGCTTGGCCTTTCAAATTGCCAGTCATCTGTGCATTTAAAAACATACATTTTATTAATGCTGACAAAGACACATTTTTAATTACAGGTCCATGAAATACACAGATACATATTTCTGTAACTCACCAGTCATGAGTTTCAGTGTGAAGTATAAGAATTCCTCTGCCATCTTAACTGCAGAGAATGGGATCCACAGAGGGTCAAGAGGAAGGCTGCTCACATTGTGCTTCCTAAATGATTAAACAGGTTTCCTTAGTATACAAGCAACTTAAGCATTCCTTCATATTTGTTGTATTCCATACTGGAATTTATTTGTTTAAATGCTATATATATATATATTAAGAGTTTGTTTATGTTTTGTTTGTTTATTGCCACACTTCTTGTTGATCGATTACATACCTTGGGTAGTGACACTCCACAATTACAGCAGCTTTGCTTGTCCTCACCACAGGAGAACCACCCAGACTTTGAGGATTATAGTTCAGAGTGAAGGTGTAGATAAGGGCATCTTCTGTCATCTGGCAAAAGAAGAAGAGGGATAAATAATAGCATAAGCAAACAGCAATATGACCAAACCTATTTTCCCATAGTTATAGTTAATAGTCATCATAATGCATTTGTTTTATTGTGCTTACTGCTAATGAGCTGCCACAGCCATGAAGTTCAGATTGAAAAATCAACACTTGGGCACCATTGTCCTCTCCTACAGCATTACAGCTTCCCAGAGTAAGGTCGGCAGAATTGATGAACTGGCCAATCCCAAACAGGTCCTTCTTGACTTCCACCAGAGCATCCCTTTCTCTGCACTCAACAGCAACAGTTGAAGCAGGAACTGGATATCTCAGCTCAAAAGGCACCTCAGGCTGGAGCTCAGGCTTGGGATCTTCAGGGTATTCCCAGGTGAGTGGTTTCTCAAATGTTTGCTTTACCTGCTGGGGCTCTTGAGGCGACTGTTTGCTGGGCTCCTGTCTCACAGATGGATTCTGGTAATTTGGTTTTTGTACTGGCTTCATCCACTGAGCATCACATAAGCCGCCAAGCAAGGACAGTGCCACAAGGCACACCGCAGTACACTTCATCACCATGACTTCACAACAACGAGTGTTCTGCACAGTTCACTGGGTGCTGTAAGGAAGGTGGATATGTGCACATACTTTTATAACACGGTGAACATGTTTACTCCCAATACATTCCCGCCCCATAAACTGGCCACTCCTCATCAGACCAAATGAGTGTAAACCTTAGCCAATGACATGAGTGCAGCTGTTGACAAAAACCTATGGAACCCCCCCAGCTGTGTTGAGACATTTTCAACAGAGTCCAGATTATTTAATCTGTTGATACATAAAATGGGACTGTGCAAAGAAAATTATAATAATTATAATTAATTGTACTTAATATGTTTAATATAAATCAATGTGAGGTTAATGTACCAGATTGAACAGCATCATGCTGGTTAATTGAAAGTTTACATACATTTTCCTTAAAGCAGATGAGAAAATAGGTATAAATAGTTGACAACCATGTTCCAAGTTATGTTGACCATGAATTAAGTCTACTTGCCCTCAACATGACATGTTGACTTCTGCAACCTGCCAAAGTACATTTTGCAAAAGGTTGAAAGTCTATTTGGCTCGAGCAAAGTCACAAAGAGAAGATAACCTTAACTCACACTTTTAACCAGAGCAGGGAGAAAAGTAAAAAAGACTGTGAACAAACTTTTTATTGTTACAAAGCACTGAGTAGTTTTGATCTGATGATGATATTGTGAGCTCGAAAACAGCTGGTGTTTGAAATCAGTATGTGCGACTAAATAAAGACCTTTAACACACATCTGCTTCTTAATCTTTAAATTGAAAAGCTCTTTGCCTTGTTGTGGATGTGTTTTTACAAAAAAAAGTCCTCTTCCTCTTTCCTTGCCTTTCATTTAAACTTTTATCTTTTACCAACTTTATTTTACCATTATTTTTACTTTGATGTTTTTATTTATTTATTTAGCACTTTATAAAAGATATAAATACAAAGAAATGGATTAAATTAAAACTAACAAACAAAACAAAACAAAACAAATAAATAAATAAAAAAACATCAAGTAACCCATTTAAAATAGTGCACATTAAAGTAATGAAAAAAATATTAAATAATAAAAACTTGAAGAATGAGCATGTAAGCAAACTAAGACAAAAGTACTATAGAGAACCAGCCAGCAATTAAATGTGCCTTTTAACATCTTTTAAAATGTTTAATAGTATAACATTTCAATGCCAGATGTGAAAAGTTATTCCATAGTTTAGCACCCCTATAACGTATTAAGGAACTGAGCTTGACTTGTTCGAAATTGAGGAGGGTGAAGATCTGCAGCTTGCCTAGTTGCATAAGAATGAACCAACCAATTTGCTTTAAAATAGCACATAAAGTGCTCAGGAATATTTCCTTTACTTTTATATATCTCATAGATAAAAACACAGATTTTAAGTATATTGATGTCCTAAATAGTAAGGATTCCAAGTCCTTTGAATAAAGGAGTTGATGCAGCATATGATTCAGAACGTGTTGCAATTCTAGAAAAGCGTTTCTGAAGGACCAGAATTCTGTGAAGGGTAGTAGGAAATGTATATCGTCAGCAAAAACAACAAGCGATTTCTTATGGTTGTTTGCCTTTTACAAACTGACTTCACTGACTAGCTGGCATTATTTAACAAACTGAATATCTTAGCTATCTCTATGTTAAGTGACCACTTATATTTAAAATGTAACCTATCTAAAAACCTAAAACCAACGTATTACTGTCTACATATTGTATTAGACAGAATTTAACAAGACTTTTTTTTTTATTAAAGTTATAACTCATCTGAGTTCTTCTGATTTCTACAAGGGCATGAAAACAGTGACAAGAGCTATGTCAGACCAACCTGAATTGGCAAACATCAAGCGTCCTGTGTGCTTTTCCCTGAGCAAAGGTCCCACACTCTTTTTTTTCTCAGTATTTTATTGAAATTAACTGTATTTATTACACATATCCCATACATAAATATCAAAAGCAATTTTAACAAATTATACAATTTGAGGAAATAGCAATATTTATGTCACACTTTAATTATGATGTACAACAATGCACTGGTTAAAAAAATTGTCTTTGTAGATTTTTAAACAATACATTTTCACTTTTCAGTATAGGCATGACTCCAGCTGAAGATTTATTTAATTTAATTTTGAATAAAATTCAAAAGTGTAAAAAAAAAAAAAGAAATCGGAAATTCATGATGAATGTGATCTACATTTAGATTTCGAAATTGAAAGATATAGAAAACTGAAGATATTTTAAATTCAGGATTTGCTGAGTCAAAAACAAACCTTCAGTATATCAGATGTGGCTCAATTACATCTACTGAATACTATACTATACTAGATACTCTGTTTTAAGCATAGTGTGTACTCATGCATACATGATATGTTTTTTCTATCATAAATTCTGATTGTGAGTTGTTTGACATTATCTCACATCTTGTCATTGCTTCACCAAACACCGCCCAGTAAGCGGAGCATTTCATTTGCAGTTGCAGGCAACAAATAGGATGTGAGATATCGACAAGTCTGTCTTAGCAATATCTTATAAAAGGCAGCAAATTTGCCCCACATTTTTCACAGCATCTGGTGTTCTTCATGAACCGGTCTGCTGTGAAGCCATAACAATGAAGCTGATCGGTGGTTGTCTCCTGGCATTGGCCCTGCTTGGCTGTCTGACTGACGCTCAAGTTTTCAAGTCTCAGCAGTCCCAGCAGCCCCAAAAGCCCCAGCAGCCTCAGAAGCCTCAACAGCCTCAACAGCCCCAGCCTCCCAGATATACACCACCACAACAATCTCAAAAGCCACAGAATCCAAACCAAAAGTACCAGCCCCAGCAGCCTAAGCAGACAGACGTATTTCACTCCTGTGATGTGAGTGAACAGTACAAGATACAATGTGGGGCTCCCGGCATTTCTGGCCAAGAGTGTGAAGCTATAAACTGCTGCTTTGATGGACGCACCTGCTATTATGGCAAAAGTGGTAAGTATTTTTGTATTCCTCAAAAAACTTAATAGATACACAATTCTTCACTTTTGGTGAACTTAAAAGTATTCAAAGAGTAGAGCATGGCCATGACTGCTCTCTACCTTGCTCTTTTTAGTGACTCTTCAGTGCACCAAAGACGGCCAGATGATTGTGGTGGTGGCCAGAGATGCCACCCTTCCCAACCTCGACTTGGAGACAATTAGTTTCCTTGGAGATGCTCAAAACTGCAGTCCTGTTGGTACCACTTCAGCTTTTGCGATCTATCAGTTCCCTGTCACAGCCTGCGGAACAACCATGATGGTAAGCTCTGCAACTCTTTTGACTCTTCAGTTTGATTTTGATCCATTTTTGTCAGGTAGTTGTCAAAAGTGTCATACTGCCAACTTACTGTAGGAGGAGCCTGGTGTTGTCATCTATGAGAACAGGATGTCCTCCGCGTATGAAGTTGCTATTGCATCTAGAGGAATTATCACCAGAGACAGCAGCTTTGAGTAGGTGTTTTTCTTTCCATACTACTGGTCACAACATAAAAGGTTACTATATTTACTATACTATATTATTTAATTATGTTGTATCAAGAAGATATACTACAAGTGTGTGGGGTCAAAGGGTTATATTTTTCTATCCAAACCTCACTGACAGGCACCTTATGTCTTTTCTTAGGCTACTAGTCCAGTGTAGATATATTGGAACCTCAATTGAGCCTCTGATCATTGAGGTTGGCCTGGTTCCTCCACCACCTCCAGTTGCAGCTCCTGGACCTCTGCGTGTGGAGCTCAGACTGGGCAATGGACAGTGTTTGACCAAGGGCTGTGTGGAAGGTTAGTGTGAATTTAATAGTTTGTGCAGTAAACATCATTAAACAATGTCTGTGCCACCAACCAATCTCTATGTTTGATCAGAGGAGGTGGCCTACTCCTCTTATTACATGGATAGCGACTACCCTGTCACAAAGGTGCTCCGGGATCCAGTGTACGTTGAGGTCAGAATCCTAGAGAGGTCTGATCCCAACCTGGTCTTGACTCTTGGAAGGTGCTGGACAACCACTGACCCCTATCCTCACAGTCTTCCTCAGTGGGACTTGCTTATTGATGGGTAAGTGTTGGCTTGTCTTGTAGAAGAGGTATTGATTATACATTTTGAATCATATGCCTAAGCCATTTTCCACCCTCTCTGCTCTTGACATAGTTGCCCCTACCGCGATGATCGATACCAGACCTCCCTAGTGCCAGTGGGTGCCACACCAGACATTCCGTGCCCAACCCACTACAGGCGTTTTATTTTCAAGATGTTCACTTTTGTAGCTGGTGGTGCTTCCAATCCTGGCAAGGGAGGAGCTGCAGATCCAGGGAGTTTTACTCCTCTCAAGGAAAAGGTATAGGATCCCACTCTCAGGATTTCTTTGGCTTTGTTTTTACTTTCTTTTTAATATCACCTCATATACATTTTACTAACAATATCCTTATTTTCCGACAGGTGTATATACACTGTGATGCAGCTGTGTGCCAACCCTCTCTTGGAAATAATTGTGAACCTAGATGTTTCAGAAAGAGTAAGTAGTACAGTCTGATATTTGATTATAAATGCACCACTAGTATTGTGTTTCTATGAAGTCTCTTTCCCATCATTACCCTGTGGCATCACGTGTCTTATGTTTGATGAGAACTGACCACTGTTATTTCCTTGTGCACAGAGAGAGACATTTCTGCTGTCTACATGAGCAGGACAGAGGCCACTGTGGTTACAAGCCAGGAGATTCAATTCATTGACCCTGCTCAGTAACAACATCCAGACAGAACTTTCTGGCATGAAATCTCTGTTCCCAATGCTTTGTAGAAAGTGCTTTGTGAAAGAGTTCCAAATAAAGTTGCATGTTGCTGAACGTCAATCACTGCGATCTCATGGCCTAGAAAATGTCAAATTGTGTTCTCACAGTAACATGAGGGAACCAAGATGAAGAGTCCATTTGACTGCCTGAAGGCTGACATTTTGAATATCTTCCTGAACTTAAAACACTAAAAATAAATAAATAAACTGTCTTAGTCCCAGTTATCCATAGTATATAAGCATTTGAGCAATTTGTGGTTGTTTTGAATACCATCATATAGCATCTATGGGTTATATTTAATGGAATAATGTGTTCTTTACTTCAAGCTTGCATTTCACATTTATTGGCTGGGACTAGAATACCAAAACATAAAAAATAACACAAAGGACTACAATTACTCAACATCTCTCTGAAACAAACCTTTAACAAAAAGGGAACCTGGTAGATTTATTTTAGAGCTGATTTATTTGACTGTGTGTACCAGAGGGGCCCTCACCATTCACGCCACTGTCAAACCACTCCCCCCAAATAAACACTACACTTCCCAGACACCCTCAAGGTATGCGGAAGACATGACGTGTCAAGATGTAACCCCCCCAAAAAACAACCAATGAGATGAGAGAGTGGACGCGGAGTCGCACGGTGATTGGACAGTGCAGACGTCAGTTCGGCTCAGTCCGGAACACTCGACGCTGTAGGTGGACGTCAGTAATCTGAGTTTCATGGTGGATTAATGCTCGATGTAAACCGCCCCCCTCATGCTGCTGCCCTCACCGGCCTGTTATGGTCGTCTTTTCCGGTTAAGAAGCATTACCGGTGCGCTGCGTTTCTCAGCGAGTCCGCGCTGCCGCCTCACACCGACATTTCCCGACCGCCGTCCGCTGCTCCTCGCCCGAAAACTCACGATGCTGTCGAGTGCAGACGCGAAAACCACCCGCGGCGGTCGCGACGAGCCGGGGCAGGGCCCGGAGCTCTGCGGCAACATCCCGTCCATCACCACGGAAGACACGGGTCCTCCGCTGGAGAAGAGAAGGGTGGAGACCAACCTCGTGGTTGACGAGAGAAACTTGAAGACCCCGAGTCCTCTATTCGACGCCAACGGGGACGATGACTCCGAGGCAGAGTCGTACCGGGACGGGAGAACCGAGGAGGTGGACCGAGACACAAGGAGCAGCGCGTTTGCCTGGTGCCGGGACTTCTTGTCTGGGTCGTGGAAGACGATCCCAGAGGAGGATTTTCAGATCAGCATCGTCAGGTAAATGATAATTAAAGCTGTGTGAACAACATGCGATGATGGAGGATCGTTTTCAGTCAACTATTGAGTGGACTCTGTCATTAACGAGCTATTTACACAACAATAATCATAATGATAATTAAATGGGGGGAAAGGAGCAGGGACGTAAGAGGCATAAATCAAACCAGAAGGGCACGAACACATTTTTGTTGCTATTTTATAAAAGTGTATTTGAGGGATTTAGCAAATATTTTATCCTCATTGACAGGTCGGCTTATTATTTCTTCATTTGCATCCATGAATATAATACATACACATAAGAGTAATTATTATAGTCATGTCAGAGATAATAGAATTAAAGTTACACATGCAAATAAATACACAAGAAATGTGTATAGCTTGTGATCATGATCATTGCAGGGTAATATTAGTAATAGTGGTTTTGACCCTTTTTAAAGAGGGGATTGTATATTTTATTTCACTGGGAGCAAAAGATAAATTAGAAAATGTTGTTTGACATAAGGTTCTGGCTCAATTTCTTTCTTGGGACTCTTTGATAAGTATTTATGGTCCCAGATCGGATCCACTATCTTTATGGTTTTGCTGCTGTTGTTAAAATGTTCTTTTTTATGTCATATCTTAATGAACTGTATCTGCTAACACTATGGGATCACCATTTCTTTCTAGGAGACCTCAGGCTTGAAGGTGTGTTGACACTAACTGTGGTTTGTTCAACCTGTTCTGTGATGTTTTCTTTGCCAAGAGCAAAGCACAACAGCCTTCTAAGTAAAATCGACATGTGTTGGTATTCCTGGGAGGACGTCTGTGTGGTCATGTTAACCTTCCTCTGGAGTGATAACACTGCAGTTTTTTTTTTTTGGCAGTGGTGGACTGAGTAATCTGCTGTATCTGTGTAGTTTGCCTGAGCATGTGCACTCTGTGGGAGAGGAGCCTCGCCAGGTGCTCCTCAGGATCTACGGTGCCATCTTACAGGTTGGTCTGTTTCAGAGAGATCATATTATTCCATGACTCAGTGTGGCTGCACATATTTAATAAACATGGGATGACAATGATAATCTCATCAAATGACATTAAAGGCATTTTGAAAATGATGATAGTGTGTCTGACTGTCAGTCTCATCTATGTCCCTGCCACAGGGAGTGGACTCTCTGGTGTTGGAGAGTGTGATGTTTGCCATCCTGGCAGAACGGACTCTGGGGCCAAAACTTTATGGCATCTTCCCTGAGGGACGCTTGGAACAATACCTTCCAGTATGATGCACACAAAAGCACACGCCTACAGAAACACACTTAGTGTCTCTGTTGTTTCAAACTCTTGTCATCTTCAGCCAAATTATACAGGCACAATTTATGTTAGTTTGGATGTTAATGTGTAATAATGGTTTTACTGGGTTCGGTCGCCTAGGTAACCCCATTAAGTTTGTAGAGATTTAAAGGTTCTACTGTCGTTGTTTGACCTAGTTCATAATGTTACAGAAGCATTCACAGATACATAGTCATTTCCCCACATCTCTGTTTTCCCAGAATACCCGCATGCGCACAGAACAACTTTCAGATCCTGCCGTCTCAGCTGAGCTCGCAATCAAGGTGGCACGTTTCCACGAGATGGTGATGCCCTTTAACAAAGAGCCTAAGTGGCTGTTTGGGACCATTGACAAGTAAGCCCCTGTACAATCACTCTCTTTCTACTACTAAAACTTTTTTTCTACTTACCTGTATTGTCTATTTTATTTCTTTTAGATACGTGGATCAAGTGATGAAGCTTAAATTTGTCCGGGAAGCACATGTGAAGAAATTCAAGAGGCTGATGAAGTTTGACCTGCCTGCTGAGCTACAGAGCCTCCGGTGAGTCCTGCACAAGCCTCAGAAGGCCAAATACTGTATGTTGTGACTCTATATGTATTTTTATATTTAAAGCAGATATTAAGATGTTATAGGTAATGTTTAGGAAGATGGTGGGATGAAACTCTAGCCTCCACTGTCCTGTTACCCAGCAGTGTCAGTGAGAGACATGAAATGATGCAATCGCTATTGCTCAAGAGCCGTATCATATTACTCACTGTAATGGACAGATAGGAGGAGTGGCTGTTTAGTCTGTTCAACTTCCCATGTTAGAGGGCAATCACCAAAAAAACTGTTGTATAATAATGATCATATCAGAGAGTGTGGGCAGGTGTTGACCCTCTTGTCTGCCAGTGAGGCTCCGAAGTTACTCTTTTAACACGTGGATTCAGCAAAAAATCTGTTATCCTATCATGTAACATGTTAGACAGTCACAGTAAAGCTTAAAGGCTTGTTGTGGTCTGTATATAAACTGGTTTTCCTGAATTCAATCAAAATGTAAATTTACAGGATTAAACTTATCTGGGGCTTTCTTTAAATTAGAGTAGATTACACTTTGGTTCAAGTAAAATCCTCACTGGTGACAAAAAGGACAAATAGGGAGAGGACATGCTGTCCTCCGTTTCCCCTCAGAATGCTGACCTTTGTTCCACTTCCAACACAACCTCACTGCTGCTTCCTCCTCACACTCTGACATTGGCAACCAATACAGTTCCAGCTCAGTGTTTATTGTCTGTGTTTATCTATCAACATGTTCTTTTGTCTAGTAGATAAACCGGTCTCACACTAAATGAAAACAGGTCATGTGCTGTCATCGCACTTATCTGAGCTCATAACATAGATTTTGTTCAGACAGCTATAAAGACGTTTAAGTCTTTCAGCAACTTTTGAATGAGCACTTCAGGAGCTTCCTCATTCATAAACACTGAAACTTTAAAATCATATTCAGGTTCAGGGCAGGTTCTGTCATTTTGGCTGTTTTAACTATTTTTATTTTATTTTTTTACACTACACATCTGTAATCAGGCAAGAAAAAAACAATAACCATGTCTTTGAGGGATAGGATTTGCATTGGATTTCCCTCTCCTGCTGCCACCTCAGTGTCCTTGTCTGGTTCTGACACTCCACTCATCTTTTGGCTATTTTCAGTGTGACCTGAAACTGATCATTTTGGCTGCTCCATTTTTACCATGCACCTTGCATGAAGAAAACAGCTGATAGAGTGATTATGTTGTACTTTTTAATTTGCTACAAGATAAATTGTTTGAGGACAAGTATTCAGCCCACACCTCAGCATTTGAAGAAAAAAAAGGTTTCTTTTTTAGATAATTATTGATTTATCAAAGTGATGAAGGTATTGCAAAGCAAGGGTGGAACTGCAATAAACGTTATGCAATGCAGCTTTAGGGCATTTAACTTGGCAGAGGAATGCCCTCTTATAGTGCCCTTCTAGTTTTCAATTAACTATTTATTTATTTATCATATCAGCATTCTAATAATGCTTGAGAGACCCTACTTACATATGCAGTACATCTCTTGTCTTCACAATCTCTTACCTCTCTTCTCTCTCCTCTCTACCTTTTTTTTTTTTTTAAATCACCCACTCTGTTCCCCCGGCTCTTGTCTCCACAACAGTGAACTGCTCTCAGCGACACCCTCACCAGTGGTGTTTTGCCACAATGACGTCCAGGAAGGTAAAAGAAACTTCTCACAACCGGTCTAAGTTTGTCTGATGGATCCTTGTCACCTGTCCTGTGAGGCTCCTCTTTCACATTTAGGAGAAGAGCAGGATATTACATAAGTCAAAGGGAGTATGGGGTCTATTAATAGGGACAGCTCATGTTCTCATGCATCATCCTATGGGTGAAAGTGATTCATGGACGAAGATGAGGTGACAGTCGCTGATTTAGGTTTCTAATGAATGAGTGTTTCACAGAACAGAAACTGACTGAAGCTGAGCTCATGTACATCACTTGGCCAAATGTATGTGGACACCTGAACATTATACGTGCCAATGTATATTTTTATACTAGTATATCTAATTCCAAAATCATGTGCATTATTATGCTGCCTTAACAACCTAAACTCTCCTGAGAAGCGATCTGATTTGAGAAACAGGAATCAAACTGTTGCCCCACTGTTATCAATTATCACTGTTAAATTACATTAATATGAACTTAGAGGCCAAACCCCAGAAACAAAGTACAGTGGATGTTCCCTCATACTTTTGTGAGTTTCTTACACACAAACGTCTTAGTTACTAACCACATATACTGTATGTTTATTTATTGCTTAGTACAAGGGCAGCTGAAGAGAGTAGATGCACCATAAGTACCCACATTATTTACACACAGGGTATTTACGCACACTCAATAAAACCCCCTCATTATGTGTGATGGAGGCTGGTCTTTGAATAGCTCGGATACTTGTCAGTGTAACAGAAATACTCCTTTTCCAGTTGGTTAAGCTGAACCTGATCATTTGATTAGATCAAAGTGGACATTGGTGGTTTTACTCACTTTTTGTTTTTCCGTTGCAGGAAACATTCTTATACTGGACGACAGCGGCCAGTCCTCAACAGAAAGACTCATGCTGATAGACTTTGAGTACAGCAGCTACAATTACAGGTAATGTGTGAAGTCTGATTCATACGTTAGGTGTAAAGGGACCGGTTTTATTTTTAGCAAAATCAAATGAGTCATAAATCAAGTGATGCCTTATGGTTAGAAGTTAGTGTTTGGGGGCTTTTCCTTTGTGTATTAACAGAATGTTTAATTTGTAGGGGTTTTGACTTTGGGAACCATTTCTGTGAGTGGATGTATGATTACACCTACAACCAGTGGCCTTTCTACAAAGCTTCACCGGAGAACTACCCCACCAGAGAGCAGCAGGTCTGTCTAAAAATTCTACAGCCCTAGTGTAAAAGATTGTTAGTTTTCTCTGCTTCATTCTCTCCATCCTTGGTCCTAACAGAGGCTCGTTAAGAAACAACGGCTGTCAAATGCTCAAATTAATTTCTCTGCTGAACACCTGTTAGATACACAGTGCATTAAATAATCATCTACTCTCTTCTCTCTGTGAAGCTCAGGCAGATAACACTGTCCTGCAGCTTCAACTGGAGAGCTTAGTAAGGAAAAGGTGTTTTGTCTCACAATGCCATCTAGTGGTATTACATCTCAATACAAGTTTAAGTTGAGGACACATTTTAAAAAAACACAGTGGACTATAAACACATAGTGTTGCCAAACAAAACCTGAATGTCTTTGCTAGTTTCAGAGGTGTGTCAGTGTAGTTATGTAAGCACGTCATTGCTAAGACAGCAGAAAGTTATTTTGCCACATAAACTGGTCTAAAGTCAGTGTTTAAGTATTTAACAGTTATGTTAAGTCCACATTAGCAAGATGTGTAGTATGCACCTATGTCGGCAAGTGCACAATGCACGCACAGTTTGATTGTTACACACGCAAATGGTCTGTTCATGCAAGAAGTGAAACTGTTTCCTCTGCAGAGAAGTGTTCTCTCTTTCTATCGTCTGTACAATAGCAATCTGACATGGTGCAAGTGAACATGTCTCATAATTTGTGCTACAAATCAGTCATTTGCATCCTAATTCATTTAGTAATCTTAAACAGTTTTGGTAAAATTAACTTATTGTTAGTATTAATTTATCTCTTGCTGATATTGTGTCTTAATAGAAGAACAAAACATGATAAAAAAAAGTTTATATGTAAAGTATATATTGTATGCATATTGTTAAATGGAACAAGTTAAATAGTGTAACAGAGCATCTACCAATTTGATGACTGTACATGAAATGTATGTGAGTTGTCCTGAATAATTTAAATTCTCTTTGCAGCTTCATTTTATAAGAAATTATTTGTTAGAACGAGGAAAATATTCAGACATTCCTGAGGACCAGACGAAGATCGAAGAGGACATGATTATTGAAGCAAACAGGTGATAATTTACAGCAGTCGTGTACAATCACAACTTTTAGTAGAATCACAATAAGCCTGGCATTGTTGTGTTATTTATCGCGTGTTTGGTTTGATTTGTAGGTATGCATTAGCTTCGCACTTCCTCTGGGGCCTGTGGTCCATCATTCAAGCCAAGATATCCAAGATCGAGTTTGGATACATGGTAAGGAGAATAGTTTTGTCTGATGGAAACAAGTAAACATGACATTTACTTTATTTTTCACTCCATCCATGCCTTGTAGTGAACAATCTTGTTTTTTTGCAGGACTATGCCCAGTGTCGTTTTGATGCCTACTTCAAGCAAAAAAAGCTCTTCTCCTAAATTCTACCAAGTTGGGATATTTTTTCAGCGATGCGTTATTGAAACTCCAGCTCTATGCACCTCTGCTCATGACAAGTAATGTTTTTTGAAAAGTAGAAATTTGCATTTGAAGATGTGTGCATGAGCACAATTAAAGCTTTCAGGCAATACAATTTCTCAAGGTACGTGTCTCTCCACACAGTGGAATGTTGTTAAAGCAGATTTAGCTCTGTAGCTCTGAATGCTGTGATCCATGTAATGTTCTGATATTTTGTTTTATCATGTTGAGATGCACTTAACATTTCTGGACCATATTTTTGACATCAATAATTGTTTAGCTGCGCTGTCTTTGCATGCCAGCGATGGACAATCCTTGTAGCCAGAGAATTCATGTCTCTTCATTCAGACTGTGACTCTTACTGTATCAGTCATTTTGTTTTATTTCACTTGTAGAAAAGAGTTCAGCATGGAAGGCTTTTGTTGCTTTAGTGTTTTTATTCATTCCACCTCACCTCTCTCTTCTGATGTTCATTTTGTATTGCATAGGTAGATTCCATGAATGCAGGTTGTGAGGGAAGAAGCCAAGTAAATATTCTCACCTGCAGCTCCAAACTATCTCATGTGTTTTTACTGCAGAGCAGAAGAAGTGAAAATGTGAGCACCAATCTTTGCAGTTATTTTAAAAGTTGACCTACATTGTTAACTTTTCACGGGACTATTTTATACATTATCATTAGTAAACAATACTTACAGTGAGATTATGCATCACAACAGTTATAAGATGGGACGCATTTGATATTGGATCTTGTCACTACTTTGGATGTAAGTTAATGACTACATTTCTGCTGCTCCTTTAATTGTCAGCCCATGTTTGATTCAGATTAT